ATTTGGTTGACTTCAATTTTTTAGTGAATTTTCATCTGAGAAGTGAGCCAGATTTTCACCAAAAAATTGAAGTCAACCAAATTATTTGATATATAAAAATCGTTCGATCCAGTTTCTGATGCTGATTCCGAATATGATATTTATTTTGCACAATAACTTAATCATAGTGCAGAAAAGGGTGATTTAGGAGTGCGATTCCTATTTTGCTGCCTCTATTTGGAAAAAATCGGTATTCTCAGCAAGAGAAGAGGATCAGGGAAAAAAGCGATGCCTACTTTAGTTCAACTTTAAATGGCGATTCGAGTGACGTGTGACGATCGGAGAAAAGTTTCAGAACCAGGGAGGAGATAGGTTTGCGAGAGAGGTAGCTCATTTTTTGGAATGCTTACTCTTGTCAAAATTGTGGAACACAGGTAGTTCGTTTTTTTGTGACTCGAAGATACACGATTAGACTCAGTTTTTGATGGGGAATCAATATGTGCTTTGAAGTCGCGTAACATAGCTGAGTGAGTATAGAATCGTGATTTCGAGTGTGGTAACGATATTCACTATGAGTTTTATGTACACTGCCTTCTACTCGAAGAATCCATTTTCAAAATAGACATTTATACACCATTCGATAGAGAATTTGAAAAGCTACATTTTACACTATTTATATTTGAGAAAAGAGTTACTTCGATTTTTGCCTAATGTCCGCCTGGATGCCCGCCCACTGTGCGTTACATCTCTTGATTTTTTATTAAATTCAAAATCCGAAGATATCCCAATAATTAAAAATACACAATCATCGTTAAATCAACCACTTCCCAAATCAACACAAGGTCGCGTCAGACCAGCATTGCATATTCAGTATCCACAGGTTGTTACTGAATTAGAAAGATTTTTGAATTTACATGCTGGTACTGCACAAGAACGAAGACGAACAGATACTGTACATTTTAATGGTATTTTTTTCTCATCCTGTTTCTTGTATTTAGATTGTTTTTATTTAAGGTGTAACAACATTACAAATGAGAGATCGTGTACGATCTACATTAGGGCAAACGTATCAACGTTTACAGACCGTTTACTACTTGATATTGTATATCAAGTAGCACATGTCGGCGATTATTACAAGCACCAGCTAAAAATGTATCAGCATCCAAATATTATAAAAGTATTATTGATGGTAAAATTTCATGGAAACTTAATGACATGAATTGCAAACTTTCGAACGATGCTCATTTTGCTTCATCACAAGTTAAATATGGGTATGAATTGGCTGCATTATATCCACAAGAAATAATTAGTTTATCATGTGATAATAAATGTAAAATTCCAATTGGTAGTTTAGCAGTTAGTCGTTATCATTAAATAAGACGTTTTTTCCCAAAAGAACACCAACCGAATTATCCTGATCATGATTTCAAGGACGAACCATATATAACACTCTGTAATTATCTTGAGCTTCGTCATAATATAAATCTTAAACAAAAATTATTACGTAAACGCAGCCGTAGTTCTGATCCAATTCAACAAAAATCTATTCTCAGACAGAAACGCTCAAGTTCAGAAGATAAATCATTATTTAGTCAAGCTAAAATGAACAATATAAAAGTTCGTTTGCATAACTTTTTTTTACATGTCTTAAAACTACATTCCCATGAAGCTTTTTAAATGAGTCTATTTGTTAGGGAAGTGAAAAAGAAAAGAATGAATAAATGAAATAGGGTATAGCAATTATCATCCAAAGAGCGGTTTGTTTTGATTAGAAAAGACAAACTTAAAAAATATCGTAATAGACAAAATATGATATACTTCTGATGTCGATTCGATTGATAAATAATAAAGTCAATAGTTTTTCTGAGATATGAGAGCAACTCGTTAAAGAAAAAGTTTAAGAGCAATCTCTTGTCCCTGTCACACTCATAAAGACAGATATATCGTACTTCTTTTCACTTCACTTTAATATAATCTTTTTGTTTTATTCACAGTTTGATCAAAAAAGGCGTGAACGTATTCATTATTCAACCAGTGGTAATATGCATCTTCGTACATTTTGTACTCAATATTTTCAATCAACAAGTTAAATGCACATTTAAAATCTAGAATGAATAATTCAACCATTAATTAAACTTGGTAAATGAGTTGCGATTTTAACAACTGATAATGGTCCAGACTGGTCAGGAAAAAGTGCATGTAATGTTTATAATTATGGGCAACTATGGAAAAAATTAAATTTAGATGCCTTAATATTAAATAGTTGTACATCTGGTAGTAGTCGTTATAATCCAGTTGAAAGATCAATGTCACCACTATCAAATTGGCTNTTCAAATGCCAGCAAACCACATAATCTGGATGATGCACTTATCTGCTTAAATTCTTATTGGGACAAAAGACAATATGCTGGTTTTCAATTAGATTATTATCCAGTACTTTCATATAATGCAACAGGTGATACTCATACAACGACCAGATTATTATTAATGAAAACTAAACTAGATAAACAGTCTAATCTATACCATGATTATATATTTCTATTAAAATATTGTATTCAATCGCATTATTCCTATATGTTTATTAAATGTTATGATAAAAAATGTTCGCATTGTTCTATTAATCAAAGTCGTGCTAATTTGACTATGGAATTACTTTCACTATGTAACAATAGAATGCCGGTGCCCTCACCTAGTATTATTCATCCTGATCATTTTAATACATTTTTACAAACTATACATGCATGTATGCTTGGAAAAAAAATCCAAAGCCTGACGCCTTTGTTCATGGTGAGCAGTTTGGCTCATGTATTTAATGTAATAATACTTACGTTTATGCATCGGCAGCCGATATAACAAGACATAAAATATGATGTCATTAAAACAAATAGTAAATTCGTGTCAGTATCACGAATGACCACTATCGACAACCATATGCTAAAACTTTATGGTTCACATTATGAAACATATCGTAAATCAAAACTATGTGCTGCTAAACAACGAGAATCATTTAGAGCTCAAAAATCATATTTATCAAAAGACAACACTACCGCATTAGCTATAACCTGATATACTAAAGTAATAATTAAAAATAAATAACAGAATTCATAGCAAATCAGGCTGATTTTTTTGGGGCCGGTTTGGAAGAAAACAGTATACATATTCTTCCACGTATTCTTCGTTTTTCCACGTAGATTCCAAATCTGGTGTTTGTTTTCTGGTGCCTAGTCTAGTTTTTAAGAAAGAAGCAAAAAACCGTTTTTGCGTTGAAATTAGCTATTTTCCTCGTTCTCCTTCTCTCTCTCT